GTAAACCTTTAGAGTATAAATGATTTCATTATTTAAATGAAGAATTATCTCCTGTCTCATGCTATGTAATGAAAAGGACAAAGAAAACAGAATCTTCTTATTCTTTATCTCTTATTGACATTCTGGAATCTTGAAGATTAGGGCCTATATCAAGGACACAGTTTTCTAAAAAATTTTTATGAAAATTATTTATATTAAATATTGTGTATTATATATTTAAGTTATAGGTGTACATATAGTTACCACAACTCCAGCCTTAGCAGTAACAATTTAAGAAGCTAAAAAGTGACCAGTTCTCTGATTTCCTAGATATAAGGCAGTAGGGGATTTAGTTTCTATCTTTGTACTTCGGGCAGAAACTGACATATATGGTGGCCAGCACTGTGGCGTAGTAGGTTAAGCCTCCACCTGCAGTGCTGGCATCCCATATGGGTACTAGTTCCAGCCTAGGCTGCTCCACTTCTGATCCAACTCCCTGCTAACGCATCTGGGAAACCAAAAGAGGATGACCCAAGTGCTTGGGCCCCTACACCCACGTCAGAAACTCAGAAGAAGCTCTGAGTTCCTGGCTTGGATTCGCCCAGCTCTGCCCATTGCAGCCATTTGAGAAGTGAACCAGTGGATGTTAAGACCTCTCTGTCTCTCCATCTCTTTGTAACTTTGCCTCTCAAATAAATAAATAAATCTTAAAAAAATAAACTTACTTATATGACAGAAGTTAAGAACATTTAAGTGCTTAATTAAATAGCATAGAATTAATTATAATGCTTTGGGACTCTCATATATTTGATAAGAAGGGTATCTCCATGGAGTTTGAGGTGTCTGAGAGATGTATTGGCTGTCCATTTGATGGGTATGTCATGAACTCTGTTTTCCTAAATTTAAAAAATAAATGTGATTCTGAGAGATTTACCTTTCAAGGAAGCATGGAAACCTAAGTGAAAAAAATCTTTCTTCAATTCTGAAACAAGAAGATATTAAAAGCAAAAAAAAAAAAAAAAAGTTACTTTGGATCTTAAACTGCTTTGCAGCCATTTTCCCAGTTGAACTTCCTACCAAAAAACTTTGTAAATGCCTGGTGTACGCAAAGCATGGAGAGAAGAAGGTGGCAGTGGTACTGCGAATATTGTGGATGCTGTCTGACAATACTGCCATCCTTTAACATGGTTTTATTTAGTTATTACAACTATCTCTCTGTAAATGACATTTAGGATTATTTAAGATTATGTTGTAATCCTTTTAATCCTTCGTGCTTTAAATTTCAGGCTAAACACCAAAGAGCAAACTAGCACTTAGCAGGAATGTTTAAAACATGTGATTTGAACATAAATCTTTTTATTCACTCTTTCCCTGATGAAGACTTAGTGTTGCTCTTAGGTTAACTAAGAAAACTTGTATCACAGTTCATTACAAATCATTCGGTTGCTAAGCGTTTTCTTAAGCTACCTCAGCCCTGTGATGGTTCTTGACAGTTCTAGTAAAATTAAACAAAAATTATTGCAATGAACATGACTAATTTATTTTAGAATTTGTATGACCTTTTACAATGTATCCTTCCAAATTTGTGTATGTCTGGAAACGTTCTCTCGTTCCTAAGGTCAAGCTATTGCATGTATGTTTATCATACACACATGCAAATTATATAAACATATGTCCGCATACATATGTATTTTAACACATATTATGATGTATCTACATATACTTTATTGTAAAAGTTTTTAACAATATTTTAAAAAATATATATAACATTATTAAGAAGCACCAATTAGACCAAAGATGGCTCTGATATAAAACAGGCAGACATTCTTAATCAGCAAGTGAGTATCACCCTGATTTACTGTGTTGGTGAATACTAAACCTTAATATTTAATTAATGTTGTCACTGTTATGCTACAATGTACCAATCAAATAAGACTGAATCCACATCAAGGGTTTGATAGGATTTTGACTACCAAGGAAACTTGGCTTGCAATACAAAGAAAATGAACAACACAAATGTACAGATAGCAAGTACAAACAAATGAAATCTTTCCATTTTTGTGTGTGCCACAAATGTGTGCTTCAGAGACGTGAAGCGTTTATATATACACACAATTTTTTGTTTGTTTTCCTATTCATTTTACGTATGACTTCTCTGCAGACATTGTAATTATGTGGCATATAATTGCTAATCCATCAACCTTTTAAAGACAGATTTCAAATTTTAAATTATTTCTAATTTTGCTCTTCTTTGATTTTTCTTGAACCAAAAAATCTCAATAGTCATTTGCTATCTGTAATCTATAATTCATAGACTGAGATTGAACACCAAGCCTAATTCAAACTTGGAATTCTAAAGCTATTTCTGATGTAGCACATCAGCTGAAGCTATGACGGTCTTTCAGTCAGGAAGAAACACTTCATTATTCTGTAGGTAATGAAACCCTTGCACACACACACTCACACATCCAACAATGCCTTAATACCATGTTTTTGAGATATAATCATGTTTATTCTGATCATTTGAGAGTTAGACCAGCTAATGTATCTAATCAAATATTGATGCAAGTCATCTAGATTTAGCTCTCTGGCAAATCCTTCCCGATGCTTTTTCGTTAACAGAACTGTAAAAGCTATTTATATTGTTCTTCACAAAAGGCTTATAGTCTGTCTTTGGACACACATTAGTAAACGTTACCTAAGCTCATGTATTGAGGTAATGAAAAGATTTCAGCATGATGGGAAAACTAAGAGGTTCACGTACAAAGAAAGAAGCAGAAAATGAAACTTTTTGTTATTCACAATATGCTTATAATCATCTCTTGTTTGTCTAATGTACACGAGACAAAGCAATATATGTAAGAACATCAAGGCCCCTTGAACTGTTTGGTTACATTACGAACAAAATTAACTGACAAACGGTTTTCAATGAACTTCAAAAATAAGCAAATATTTAGCAAAATAAGAAGAGTTTTTAATGATTTAGGAAGTACCTATATTCAGATATAATGAAAGAAAAAGTGGAAAATTAGAACAGGAGATGGTTATTCATAATCAGAAAAAAATTAGGATGCCGTACATAGAAATACGAGTGATATAATTGTGCATATATGTATATTATATAGTAACACATAAATATTTTCCTTCCTTATTTACATCATTCATTCCATATACTTGACCGCCAACCTCATTTGTCATCTAATGAACTTTTCATGGGGTTAACAGAAGAAACTGAAAGGACTGGGTTAATTCCCAAGAGTATCTGTTGTCCAAGTATTATGTCTGTGTCAAACGTAATATATTTCTTTCATAACTTTGGTGATTGGAATACTAAACTCACAATACATAGTAAGGTTATAGCACTTAGCTTACGAGTTTAGTTCAAAACTAGTCATGTTGATCATTGAAGTATTGATCATTGATCATACAGATCAGCATTACAACCTCTAAATTTTGTTATTTATGGAAGAATAACAAAAGATAAAAAGTTGGAAAAAAGGTATCTATCACTACTCCACAGTTCCTCACTTTAAAACAAAACTTATTACTCCTTCTTGATTCTGTAAAGCCACATGTTAATCACTTTTGACTTTAGACTATTAATTTCCAAATGTTTGCGTTTTGATTAATCAACTCTCTCATACCCTTCCTTCCTCTCTCTTTTCTTTTTTAAATTTTATTGTGGTTGACAAACAACTGTATATACCCTCTGACTTTTCAAAAGGATTTTATTAATATAAAGAGAACAATTTTCATGTTTTTCATAACACAATTCTAAGATGATAACCATACTTCCCTCCCTCCCTCCCTCACCCCTCCTTCCTTTTTGTTTCTCTTTAAATTTTGCAACAACACACTTTCAACTTATAATCACAGGCTTAATGCACCACTAATCATAATGTTCAACAAGTAAAATGCAGAAAGACCACTGTTTTCAAGGAATATAGACAAGGACTATATATTTTTAAGTTAAAGTTGATATTTAAATAAAATGAGAAACATAAAATATTCAGAAAATGTTGAAAATGATTTTAAAACTGTTTAAGTCTCAAACATCTGAAGTTATTTGGATATATCTGAATTGGCCCTGAAAGATACACACCAAACACAAACCAGCTTTTTCTCCCCATTGAGAGAATAAGAAGTAAATTTCTTCTACCTATGCTTCCGTAAGACCCAATATATTCATTTTAACCAAGTCTTTAATAACAGAGCTTACTTTTCTCTAATATCCTAAAAGCTCTTAGAAGATATTTAAATTAAAAATTTATAATGATATGATTTATTTGGCTATTAAATCATAAAAATTCTAAAATATACCTATAAAAATACTGGCTACTTTGGAAATATAAATGCAAACTAAATTTCAAACAAAGATAGAAAAATTTTTATAACTTATCAGCAAAAAAGTCTTGCTGTGTTTTATCATTTTGGCAATATCATCTGTGAAATATTAGATTTGTTTCAAGAACTTCATCTGGTTCTCCCCAATCAATAGGATATGAATCTAATTGTTAGTTACTGTTATTTTCTAAAAAAAAATTTGAGGATGCAATATGAAAAACCCAATTTTTATAGCTGTTCAACTCTCTCCATTCCTCTACATTATCCTAGTAAATATAATTATTGATTGCAAGGCAGGAATGGCAAGGAATAGCTTATCATTAGTGAATCTTAATTTGTGTATATATGAGAATTTTACACTAAACCTATTTGAATCACACATTCCAAGTTTGAACCCCAAACAACTATCAAATACATTACAAAATTCAATATTTTATGTGTCAAGTTAATCAACACACAACATCAATTTTGTGTTCAAATAGCAATCAGTCACCAGGGAAAAATAATAACACAAACCGAAGATTCATTACGGAGGAGGAGTCAGCTTTTCATAATGACCTTCAGTCAACTAGTTCATGTATGTGAACACATCACAAGAAGGTCGTCTTATTTTGATTACTCAAGAGAGTTCAGATTTACAAGTAATAATAAAAATTGAATATATGTAGCATTCTTACCTGAAAGACATTCTTTCTACTTGATTTTTCCTTGGTCCATTCAATATGTGCTCCACATAAATCCACACTTTCTGGCTTGTGCCCTGTTTTCTGAAGCAAAAATGAAATAAGAAAAAAAAGTCATTAGAGATGCATTTCAGAGAAAATAAGAGTTTATTGAGTGAGCAGCTACACACATTTATGAAAGAAAGCCTACATTTTTCCCCAGGGATAACCTAATTTGTAGGAATCTTCATTTTGGACTTTATAATTTCAATTGTCTAAAAGTATCAGCATACCTTAAAATATTTTATTAATTATAGACAATAAGGAAAATGAATATTTCAAATGCTTACATTTTGAGTTTTCAATAATTATAAAAAATAAAAGTTCAAACTCTATTAAATAATATTAAGTAATTGCTATTAAATAATATAACACAAAAGCGTTTAAGTCACATACTTAGAATTTAGGATGATAAATTTAGAAATGATAAATCATAGTGTAATGGAACTATTTCATAGTTTTAGCTGTGTGGCTTTATAAAAGCTACTTAGAATTTTACTCTGTCACCTAGAAAGTTGAGCAGGTATTAACATGTTAACAAATTCAATACATATTTGAGTGTCAACTATTTGTTTAAAAATTCCCTATTGAGTCATTTTAAGACTATATACATATTTCTGTAATTTTGTTGAATGAGTTTAATTTAGACCCAAAAGTTTGTAATACATGCTTAAAATTATAATGTATTACTTTGTAATTATTCAGAATAATCAATAGAAAGATCATCTATGTTTGCCTCTTTCTATTTTGATTCAAGTGAATCATATTTATATAATTTTACATTTTCCAAATTCCTATTATTAAACAAAAGTTTACCCATTTGGGAAATTTCTGTGCTATTTTTCAAACAACTGTGGGATTCCAAAGACTCCAACTATTGTCGTGTGGTCTGAGCTACTCTAGGTGTCTCTACAGTTTAATTTAATGAGTTTAAGACATTGTCCATAGAAGACCTTAAATTTTTAGTATACAAAAGTTACAATATTTTAGCTCATATTCTAATAGTATGAATTTACATTAAAATGTGATATTATGAATGAACAAAAAGAATGTTAAACTATCTTTTTGCAACTGTTGTCTTATAGCAACCATGTCATTATAATAGAAATAGACTATTCTATTCTGGTTCTTCTCTTATGGTAAATTGTGAGGTTCCCAGTTTTTGGTAACTCAATTATTACTTTTGTGTAAACCATGTACATGTATCGTGATAGCTTTCTTTGTTATTTAGTAGTAACTTCATGACTGACCCATTAAAATGAGTCTCCTGACCCCTAAAAAATATTCTGACTTTAACTGGTTTACCCTATGCTCTGATCATTATTTTGAAGATCACTAATCATGATGATCATTGTCAAGTGATTAATTATGAAGATCTATTTAAAGCAGCATCCTTCTGTTAGAGGCAATTACATTTTGGAATACTCGGAACCAACAAAAATGTCATTATTTTTAATTATTTTTATTATTAGACTGTTACACTTTAACAAAAGTGCTTATCCTTCCCATGTAATATAGTAAGAGGAAAAAGTAGAATTATTTAATGGCAGAAGTACCTTTTATATATTATTAAGCATTTCCATAAGTGCTTATAACTATTAATGCATGTGATTCTTACTATTGTATAAGCGAGATATTATTATGATTACCAGGTTACAGAAAAGAAAGCATACCCAAATGGCTCTCGCTTGGTTAAATCTTTCCAAGATAACACAGCTAGAAAGGAAGGGCCAGAATTTAAAGCACACGGTGTCACTGTAAAGTCTGCACTTAACCACTGTGCAGCCCTTGAACACTGAATTGACACAGTGGTCCTACTCATACTACAACCTATAGAGGTTTGGGAAGAGCAATAACTTTCTCACTGGACTCCAGGATGGACATATTGATCTTGTTTTTGTCCTTCTCTGCTAAATGTGATCTTGCCTTAGGTCCTTGACACCACCTGGTTACCTGGAAAACCTCCCAATCTGCACATGGCTGACTCCTTCTTACTCATCAGCTGTCAGCTAATGTCACCTTGTCAGAGATCTTCCTTAACTGTCTCACATAAAAGAGCGCTACTCCAGCAATTTTGGTTGCTCTCAATCCCACAACTTATTTTGATTTCACTGCAGCCCTCTTCCTAACTGAAATTAACATATATATTTTTGTATGCTGACTGTCTGTGTTTCCCCCACTAGAATTAAGCTCCCTGAGCTAGGGCCTTGTTTGCCTTTCCCTCCACTGTTTTTTCCCAGTGTATGGAACAGTGCCTGGCACACAGTCGTTCAATGAATATTTGCTGGATTCATGAATGAAGGAAAAATACCAAAATATAGCTAGCTTTTGTGCTTTGGAAGGAAGGTTTGGGTGTCTTAAAATTCTCAATTTTACAGCAATTAAGATTTGCATTTTTTAAGCAGTTAAGCAGTCTTCAGTTTGTGATTTGAATAAATGATAAACAGTTTAATGGATTTACATGTAGATTGAATGTGATACTTCACGGAATTACTTAATAAACATTTATTGCATGCCTACTATGTTCCCTGTGATAAACCATACTATCTTCTTGACTCTGTGTTTGGACATAAAGAAAATACTAACTCTTTAATAACCCCATATACACACTGTATGCTCTAGCACTGGAGGCATCCTACAGATAAACAGCAATCTAAACTTTTTTTTTTTTTTTGACATGCAGAGTGGACAGTGACAGAGAGAGACAGAAAGGTCTTCCTTTGCCGTTGGTTCACCCTCCAATGGCCACCACGGCCGGCACGCTGTGGCCCGCGTACCGCGCCTATCCGAAGGCAGGAGCCAGGTGCTTCTCCTGGTCTCCCATGGGGTGCAGGGCCCAGGCATTTGGGCCATCCTCCACTGCACTCCCTGGCCACAGCAGAGAGCTGGCCTGGAAGAGGGGCAACCGGGACAGAATCCGGCGCCCTGACCGGGACTAGAACCCGGTGTGCCGGCGCCGCTAGGCAGAGGATTAGTCTACTGAGCCGCGGCGCCGGCCAGCAATCTAAACTTTCACAGTCTTACCATCATCTAGGTATGTCAATCTCTAAATGTTCTCACCAGCGTCACAAAATAATCCCATTACCCTGGCACGTAGCTGGACTTTTTGGTAATCCCACCTCTGCCCGCCACAATCAGCAGTCTCTTGGTGCTCGCTCACGTGAACACTTACTCCATGGCCTGACTCCTTCACCTTCTCTCCACTTCAGCAATCTTCATTCAGCTTCCCATCTAACAAATCCTACTTTCTGAGCTTTTCACTATCACCCTGTTGTTAGGTTTGTTTCTGATACTATGGAAGTTAGCAACTTCGTTCAGGGTCCCAAGTCCTTCAAGCCCTTGCTGGTTTCACCTCTTTTCATTTCCAGGCCTAGACCCTAAACAAACAGCCTCTTAAATCTCCCCTACCTCCAATGATACTTCTGTCATCTATTTGTCCTTTTTCTATAATCTTCCTCATATCCCCTAATTCAAGTATCTTTAGACTATTTACAGTAGCAACGTTACATCCTTCTGCTGGGCCTCTGATCCTGCTTGAAATTCTGTCTTTTGCAAGCGTTTTTTGCTCCACTTTCTCTCCTGCCTCTTGATACCTCTCTCCCAAAGCTTTAGCTCTTACAAGTCAGTCACACCAAAAGGTTTTCTTCTGCTTCACAAAGATGACAGAATCCTTGATGGGCGCCACGGCTCACTAGGCTAATCCTCCGCCTGAGGCACCGGCACCCTGGGCTCTAGTCCCGGTAGGGGCGCTGGATTCTGTCCTGGTTGCTCCTCTTCCAGTCCAGCTCTCTGCTGTGGCCCAGGAAGGCAGTGGAGGATAGTCCAGGTCCTTGGGCCCTGCACCTGCATGGGAGACCAGGAGGAAGCACCTGGCTCCTGGCTTCGGGTCCGCAGCGCAGCGCGTCAGCCATAGCAGCCACTTGAGGGGTGAACCAACGGAAAAAGGAAGACCTTTCCCTCTGTCTCTTTCTCTCTCACTGTCTAACTCTGCCTGTCCGAAAAAAAAAAAAAAGATGACAGAGTCCTTGTGTTATAACATTCACAATTCTTCCCACTTTCATAGCTAGTCTGGGCAATCAAAATGGAAAAACACTAAACTTTAGTGATAACTTCCTATGCATTTTGCTGTCTGAAAGCATTATATTGATTTCTCATTTATATATTACAACAATCTTGTGAAACTATTGCATGGGAAGAACTAAAGGAGCAAGGGGAAGAATGCCTTATGTAAGTGCTTGTATTAAGATAGGAATTCACTCATACTTGACTCCCAGTTCCAAGTTCTTGATCATAACATAATACCTCATCTCCTTCCATACTATTTCGAACAAATGCACATCAAAAGCAATGCCGTTTTCAGGTCCAAGAATGAGAATTCACCTGGATTTACAATTTCTCACTTTCTTTTCTGATGCCAAAGTTCTGGACCTCAGCCTCTGACACTGGTTCACCTGTCTAATGTCCTATTCTATTCCCTGGGCATGTGAGTGACTTCTAAGAGTGTCAAAGTTACCTGGTCTCAGTGCTGCAGAGTGCATAAATATCTCGCAAAGCATGTCTGTCTTTGCCTCAGAGAGAGAGATAATCCTTCTGCCCAAAGTTGTTTTGTTTTTGTTTCTAATTTGATCTAATCTTGTTGTTCCTTTCTGGAGTTGTCCCTTTACCCGTGCTTTCTCCTTCTCACAAATAAATTATCTCTAGCAGGATGTAGCCATGCTCAAATCATTCCTGTTTAAAAAAAAGGGGGGGGGGCAAGCATCAATGCCACAACTTCCCCTTTCTCAATCCTACCTAATTCCCATCCCATGGTGGCCGGGTTCTTCAGGTGTCTGCATTTCTATCCCTGTTCACTTGTGCTCTGTTCCATTCATTCTTAATCCGCTGCAGTCTAGCTTTTACTCCCTTCCTTGACTAATATAAAATGTCTTAACCATTAAGGTCAGTGACAAGAAAGTATCTGATGGCTTATCTCCCATGAACATTTTATACTCTTATACTTGAATTCTGAACTAGTTTCTGCTGACCTTTCTCCATTATGTACACTT